TTATCTAGCATACTTTTATTGTGGAATAAAATGCCAAGAGTAAAAAAAGTTTGTATATTAAAGCCATTCATCTTTTTAAAAAATTAGCTCAACATGTTTTTTATTTAAAGGGGATTTTCTAGTTTGAATATTAAAATACACAGATGATTGTTACTTTAAACATTTTTATTTTGAAATTTTAGCCATTGTATATCAAGATGCTGCTGAAAAAAATAGCATTTCAACTTAATAGACTATTAGGAGTGTACCTTAAGACACCATATATTTTAATATTCTTTCCACTTTTCCAGCGGATCCTCTGGTTGGAAGCATAGCCACTCAGTATTTGACCAACAGAGCAGAACATGACAGGATAGCCAGACAGTGGACCAAGAGATACGCAACATAATTCACATAATTTGTATGCAGTGTGAAGGAGCAGAAGGCATCTTCTCACTGTGCTGCAAATCTTTATAGCCTTTACAATACGGACTTCTGTGTATATGTTATACTGATTCTACTCTCTGCTTTTATCCTTTGGAGACTGGGAGACTCCCCAAAAAGGTAAACGCTATCAAGAGTAGAACTTTGTAGCTGTAGATTAGTTATGTTTAAAATGCCTACTTGCAAGTCTTGCTTCTTTGGGATATCAAAATGTATTTTGTGATGTACTAAGGATACTGGTCCTGAAGTCTACCAAATATTATAGTGCATTTTAGCCTAATTCATTATCTGTATGAAGTTATAAAAGTAGCTGTAGATGACTAGGAATTATGTCATTTGTATTAAACCCAGATCTATTTCTGAGTATGTGGTTAATGCTGTTGTGAAAAATGTTTTACCTTTTACCTTTGTCAGTTTGTAATGAGAGGATTTCCTTTTACCCTTTGTAGCTCAGAGAGCACCTGATGTATCATCTCAAACACAATAAACATGCTCCTGAAGGCATAGTTTCCTGTCGTAATATTTTAAGCCAGTCTTGTTAGAAGGTGTGTCTGAGATGATTGTTGATGAAGTAAAAATGCGGATATGAAGATTGACTACTAAAGATTAGTAAAAATAAATGAATTATTAAATTGAAAACATTTGAAATTTTATTAAATGCCTAGTTTTTTCCCTTCAAGTCCTAATGAGAGCATATAATGAGCTTAAATATGCAAAACTGAATTTTAAACCATTGGTCTCAAAAACGTATAAAGCACTGCTTTTGATAATACAATATTTGAGCTAAAAATAATACGAAATCCTGGCACACTCAAGAATTTGATATTGTCTTATGGAACAGTTTGTTACCAAATTGGTGATTTCTATCCACCATTAGGCAGTATTGTCAAATAACTGTAATTTGATAGCTATTCTATGTCTTGGTGCATTTTTTACTTCTAATCCTGGTCTCATATGGGTTACCATTCTCATTGTGGCAACTTGGCCAGCAGATGTAGTCAGAGGCAGAGTTGACTACAGAAACCCTTGTCAACCCTAAGGTAGAATAAAACTGCATTGGTGTGCAGATGTGGCATTTTTTTCTCAGTTGAAAAAATACCAAATTTTAAGGGGTTTACAGCTTATAAATTTTTTCTTTCTAGTTACAATTTTTAAATATTAGTTTTCTTACAGAAATTACAATTACTTTCCAATATTCAGGTTTGATAAACAATATAAATATGCTGTTTTTTTCTGCGACTGGGATAATTATTGAGGTAATTCCCTGGTCATGTAACCAAGTTTGTGGAATTTAAGACAAATGTCTTCTTTAGTCCTAGGTATGAAAATAGAGTGCCATCTTAAAATTTACAGAGTGGAATTATTAGCATAAAAATACATTGCTTTAAGATAATAAAACATTTATAGTTGCATATCCTCTCACTAAGAATAGTGGTCTCCTACTTGAGTATTTGTCAATAGAAGTCTAAATCGGAATAAAAATAAAATTACTTATATATCTATTTTTCACTTAAACTGCCCCCTAAAAAAAAATCTCCCTTTATTATAAAGGAACACCAAACAAAAACGTGGTATTTTGAAAAATTCAGGCTTAGGCCTATGAAAACCTCTAAGCCTTGACTGTTTTCGATGGTGACTAATAATCTGTAATGAAGTTCAAGTCAGTGGGATGAGAATGGGGATCTTTTATGTAAACAATAAAGCTTTCTGTGTAGGTTCACTATAGAAAGTTTTTGCCCAATTCCAATTTTGTACATTCTACTTCTTAGAGTAATATATTTCTCTCTTGGTGCTAGAAAAGCTTTCATCATTCTGAATATTAGGATGTTTAGGGATGCTATCATTGGTCTTCCTTCATTTGCTATTAGCCTAATTACAACCACCAACCTGTTTTGATACTTGTGGGTTGTCCTCTACTCACCTAGGACAGAGTAGAGGAAATTGTTACTTGAAAAAGTATTGTGACTCTTCCACAAACTGCCTTGTAGCCTTGAATAAGATACTTCTAACTTCTCTGAATTTCAATTTGTCTATGAAACAATCGAATTTGATTATTTCCCTATCCTCTATTAGCCCACAAACTCAAGTAATTCTAACCTTATAAAATTTATGCATGTTTCACTTTTTCTTTAAAGAACAGGCTATAATTTCAAATGGATCAGAAAAAAAAAATCATCATTTGGTTTTCTATATTAGGTTCCTTTAAAATTCTGAAATTTTCTTATGTTCTCTATTTTTGAAAAACTATGTATCTGCTTCCCAGTTCAGTAGATATTTATCTGTGTATACTCTTAAGGGCTTTTTCTTTGAAACTTTGCTCTAGATGTAAATTATGATATTTCAAAACCCAGACTTTTTCTCATCCATTAAGAGCAAAATTTACAAGTTACAAGTCCAAATGTAACTTCATAAGTATTCAAAAATGGTCATGGCACCGTGCATCCCATCCAGCCCGCGTCTCATGTTCCCTCAGAGGCGCCATGCAGTGCACTACTATATGCCAGTCATCATTTAGTTACTGAAGGGCCTTATCTTATTTAAAATCTCCTAAAGAGCTCTAGGAGAGGAGACACTGATGATCCTCAGTTGACAGAGTGAAACTGATGCACAGACAGGTTAAATAACTTGTCCCAAATTACACAGCTAATATGATGTGGAGGTACAATCCTCCGATCTTTACCACTAGGCTGAGTTTAGGTAATATTGAATATATATATATATAGGAAAGCAGATATACATGATTAATTGATAACTTCTGAAAATTATTCAGTAATAGAAGGTACGGTTTTGTATTTTAGTAAATCCTTATTTTAATAGTCTATTTTAAAGTCTTAAATCAAACCTTATAAAGTTTTGTTGATAGTTTCCAGTGAATATGAGATATGTTTATCTTCTGCCTTAGAGATTTGTCAAAAGAATACTTTTAACATCAATGATTTCCCTTTTTTTTAATTTGGAAAAAAATGTTATTTTAAATTTATTTAACCACACATCACATAACTACATTAGAAAATCTAAAGTATTTGATGACTGCTTTTTTCCAAAATGACAAAATGCATTAGTTATCGAGACATTGCTTTTTTTTTTTTCTTTAAATCCAGGAAATCTTAAGTAATCACAGGGATAAAATTCTGTAGACACACAGTTTGAATTGACCCATGTATATGCTGCTGTTTCTAATAAGAACTTTGAGATGTTGTGTACTTGAACTCAGCCCATTAACTTGTCCAGGTGTGTTCTTTAAACAATACAAGAATGACTTATAAAATTTAAGTCAATTTCAGCCCTCTGACTTCAGATATTAACCTGCATTGTAGTCATGCTAATGCAGTACATTAACACATTTTCAGTTAACATTTATAGTGTATCTTTGGACAGAATTATGGCATGATAGGAAACATTAATTTTATAAAACCATTCCAAATTATTTTAAGGGGCTGAGATGATTCTACAGTAATTACATTATCCACTTATATGTCTGTTAGTCTTCCTTATTTTAGATAAATAGAATATATAAATCTATTGTTTTTTGTCTAAAGTTTTTTCAAGTAATACCCAAATAATAAAAATAATTTATAACTACATTTTAGTAGATAGGCATTATTTGAAACAGCAATTTTTTGTAACTAGTTTGTCAACTTTTGGGGAGTAAAGTTCTTCAGTTATTTAACTGTGTATCTCTCTATTGTATAATAGAATGTTACTACACAGTGGACTGATAGTCCTTTCAAAGTGGTTATAAAGTAAATTTTGGGGACCGATTTATAAACTGCTTTGCCAACAGTGATGGGTAGTATTAAACCCTGTTACTCAGAATCAACCTTGTTAATTAGAGATGAGTGATCCTCTAGAGTGGTTGTATATTATCAAACCCAGTCTCACTTTACTCTTTTTCTCCCAGACTCTCTGTTAAACTCATAAGTACTTCTCTGAAGGGAATATCCTGGATTTCCAGCAGTATCTCTGTTGTTTTAGTGTGGCACCTGCTGTGTTCGCAACTTCTTGGGGTCCCAGTAGCTCAAGTGACTAGAAGCCCAAGGTGATATTTAAATGACATATTTAAATGATAATATCTTATGTATTAGTAAGACCAAACATAGAAGCTAAGTTTGAAAATTAAAAAAAAAAGTAATAGATTACCCACATTCAGGTACAGGGATAATATAAACATCCTTTAGCAGTAGTATTTTTCATTAATTTAATTATATATGAAAAAGAGTGATTTGACTTTGATTAGGCAACAGAGCTCTGGGTGTTAGCCCTGGGTGCATTCAGAAACTATGGCATAGCAAAGGAGTTGTTCAGCAAATGTAGATATTACCGATGAGCGTATTTAGAGAAGATTCTTTAAATCTTTCGTATTTATAGGTTGGTTACCTTGTTGAAACCCAGTAGAGCTGAAGTCCCAATTATGCAAGTCTACCCAACACAAAGCATTAGTAGCAGTTTTTTCCCCCCAAATCCTCCAATCAATTCCAGCTCCTCTGATGAAACCTTTTCATTTTACTTTTGTACCGTTAGTCTCTCATTCTGTTTCTCTGTGGCACTGTCTGCACAAATATCAGAAATAATAAAAGGAATTCAAGCATGTGCGTATTTCCAAGTACCAGCAACAAGCCAAGTTCCTTCCTCAGTAAGAATCCTGTTTTCTTTTTCTTTTTTTTTCTTTTAGAGAGGGTGTGTGGAGGAGGGCGTTATGCTATTTAACTCCTTAACTAAGAGTTTATTTTACAGATTATAAGTACTTGTTAATTGAAGGTCCTTTACATGAGAATTTCACAATTTCATCTACAAAATTATGAACGGTATTTTTGAGGAGCACAAGAGAGTGAGGGAATAAATCCCAGTGTAGGGTATCACTGGCACCCCTTAACCTGATTCCTTTATCATTTTTAGGAGCACTTTCATCCTCTGCTAAATTCTTCTCTTGGCCTCACAATTCCCAGATGGCAGAAGGCACTGTGATGCATACAGAGATGAATACACTGTCACATCTTTAAGTTGTTTTTAATTTCTTGTCCAGATAGATTTTTTCCCTCTTCTTAACAGAGGAGGACACATCTTTGCTAATGTGTATCCATTTTCTGTTGAATGAGAAATTGAACAGATGTCCCTGCTGATTTAACTATGAAAATATTAGTGTAATGATTTGCTAAGTTTTTCCCAATCTATATGACATTAAACATAATACTATTTGATGCTTTTAAAATAATTTCTCTCAGTCATACTGTTCTTACTACCCAGTGTTTTTAACATTCATTTTGGCATTTTATTATATTCAGTTTAACACCTTATACATATTTCTGGACAGTGACCTTTTGGAGGATAATAAATGTACTCCTTGTCTCTATCTCAGCCCAGTATCTAACGCATGTGCTTGCTGGATGATGAATATTGTATCATGGATATAAGTCTTCTCCATAAGGTTATTCAGAGACCATGTGAAGCATATCAGTCATGTCTTAATTCCCCATCATACTGATTCAGTGCTTTATATGTTGTAGGTGCTGGATTGATTCCTGTTAACTTGAAATATGAGAAGTAGCAGAGGGTTATTCCTATCTTTAATGTTTCCTTGTTTAAAATGGAGAATGATTTGGTAATTTTCAGAGTCCATAAATAAACCAAAATACTTTCTGTTCTACAAAATTTACATAATTTCCCATTGTTATTACTATCTCCTTAATTGATATATTTCTCCTATTCCCTTTCGCTGTTAAAGAGAATGCATGTATCTGTTTTTACCATATTCTTTTAGGGAAATCTAATGGAGAAAATAAAAAGTGATGGCCTTTGAAAAAAATTAAGAGAAGTAAATTTAGAGTAAAAGAACCAGAATAAAGTAATATGGAGGAGTATTGAAAGTTGATTATTGAGGTATTATCCACGTCTCTTAATTTTTTTTTCTTTTTCATTTCTAGCTTCTGTGAGAAAGGGAAATAGAATAGGATAAAGACTCAAACAGGTCACTCTTTATTGCCCCATGTTTTCCTGCACCAGTATGTAAAATTGAAAGATGACTGGGTAAAGGCTCCCTAACTCCAGGAGTGTAATTCAAACAACTTCTCAATTATTGTAGCATGAGTATTTCATAAGTCAGCTGAGCAAACTCAGGTGTGCTGGCTGCTTACTGACCCAGGCCCACTTCAGACTGAGAGTGGGGAAGGCAAACCTGTGGAGAAACAGGTTACTGAGAGGTGTTGGGCACCAAGAGAAGTACTTACAATTATGGAGTCAAGTGTGTAAGGAAACTTAAAGATATCCCAGTGTCTGAAATTTGGGGGGCTTATAATAGTCTTTACATGAGCATGTCACAATTTCATGTACGAAGTTATGAAGAATAATTATGAAGAACAGAAGGGAATGAGTGAATAAATTTATAAGAGTATCACTGACACCCCTTAACCTGATTCCTTTATCATTTTTAGGAGCACTTTAGCCCTCTGCTAAATTCTTCCCTTGGCCTCACAACTCCCAGATGGTAAAAGGTAATTTTAAATATACCTGTGAGACAATATTTATTCTATAGTTTTTTTAATGACGGTTTTATTTGTGTTTTATGTCATCTCCCTTAACTTGATCATGAGCCCCTAGAAATCAGGGATTCCATTCATTTCACTCAGTCAAGTCATTAGTTGTATACTCTAGCAAATATTTTTAGGTTTAGAATTAGCAGTGAACAAAGCACACAAAATCCCTGACTATGGCATTTACTTTTCGGAGCAGGGAGACAAAAGTTGAAAAAAGAAAAGAGTGTAGTAAATTATATACATGTTAAGTACTATAGAGAAAACTAAAGTGAGGCAGGGAAATAGGGAGTGTGTGCTGGGTGGGAGAAAGAGGAGGTTGCAGTACAGTTATAAAAAGATAGAGAAGATGTCAGTAAAAAGATGAGTCAGGAGCTGAAGATGGTGAGGGATTAGCCACATAGGGGAAGACTATTCCAGGCAGAGGGAATAGCAAGTGAAAAGACCCTGCAGTAAGAGCATGCCCGATGCATGTAAAAAACAGCAAGGCCCCAGAGGAAGTGGACCAGAACGAGCAACTAGGAGAGGAGTGGGAAGCAGGCGCAAGAAAATGACAGCTGGACAGATCACATATGGTCTTACAGTTCATCATATTTCGTTGTAAGCAGTTTGATAGTATGCTAAATAAGATGGGAAGCCATTGGAGGGCTTTTTAGCCCGAGCGATAGGATATGACAATGTTTTATTAGAATCTCTGATTACTGTTAGGGAAAAGATGAAGGAGAAGGAGAGAGGGAGCAGCAGGGTAAGAGATACTGATGGCTTCAACTTGGGTGGCATTGGTGTAGGTAGTAAAGGGGATCAGATTCTAGTTCAAGGTAGAGCTAGCAAGGTTTAAACTAATAGATTTGACTATGTCATCTGAAAAAGGAATAAAAATTTGGCATCTGAGCAAACTAGTATGCTGGAGTTAGAATTAACTAAGATGAAGAATCTTGGGGTGGGGCAGGATTGGGAAAAGTTTAAGAGCTTCATTTTCTACAGGCTAAGTTTCAAATGCCTGTAAAACATCCAAATAGAGATGTCAGGGCAGTAGATATGCAAAACTGGAATTTAGGAGTTCGTTCTGGGCCAGTGTGTACATTTGGGACTCATGAGCGTACAGGTGATAATTTACAACCATGAAACTGATACCAGGTGTTGTAGGCATTTTTTTTTTTTTGGTGGTTATTGTTTCTTTGTTTTCTAAAAAGTATGAAATCAAAGAAATAAGTGCAGCTAGAGAAGAAAGCCGGCACTCCAACATTAAGAAGCTGAGATGAGGAATCAGCAAAGGAACCCAGGAAGAAGCAAAGAAGTAAAAGGAAAACCCCAGAAAAGTATGGGGACTGGGAAAGGAAGTGAATTTCAAGGAGGTGGAAATGACCTACTACATCATATGCTGCTGATGAGTCAAATAAGAAGAGGACTCAAGTGTCCATTTTATTTAGCAACTGATGGGTGGTATAATTGGTGACTTTTACAAGCAGTTTCGTTGGAGCAGTGAGGTCAAAAGCTTGATTAGAGTAGGTACCAAAGATAATGGAAGGAAAGAAATTGGAGATTCTCATTTGCAATAAAGTAGAAAAATGGGGAGTAATTGGAGTTGGATATTTTTTCTTTAAGATGGAAAAAATTACAGTGTACTTGTATGTTGATGGGAAAGATGAAATAGGGAAAATGGATGATGTAGGGCAGAGAGGCAATGTCTTGCAGAAGATCATCTGCTATACCATATATTGAGGGTGTTTTCAAAGCTCTGCACTTTATTTGGACATTTGTCTCTTCCTGATTTGACTAGGGACTCGGAAACATAGTGTCCAGCACCAGCACTTAAAGCCATATTGCCTTCACCAGATTCTTGAATTGTACTTGGTGGGCTGGAGGGGATAGTATCTAACTCACAAGTGAAGTGGTCGGCCTCAGACATCTCACCCCATCATGCGTGGTTAACAGAAAAACAACAGAGGACAAAGGGATAAGTCCAGGCTGGAGGGTAGATGTAGTGCAAAGCTCTCTTGTTGCTTCTACTCCATGAAATAGGAAGTGGTTATTGGCTAAAAGTGAGGATGGGGGCATCAGTTAGTTGGTTTAAACGCACCTTAATATTTTCTTCAAGTGATTTTCCTTATGCCATTGAAGAATCTACATTGATACCAAACTTAACTAGAGGAATTTATTTATTGAAAGCTATTTCTGTTTTAAATTCTGGAAACAGAAGAAAATGACATTTCCCCAAAAGCTCATCATAGTGTAATTGGAAAAAGAGACGACTTACAGAGAGCTTCAGAAACACCATAGTAGATGATGTGGCAGGTGACTTCTCTCAGTTTAGTAGAGGAAAATGGCTTCTCAAAAATCCTTTCTTGCCTATTCAGTTGATTCTAGAAAATGGAGCGTTCTTCACCCCAGGTCTTTGTGGATGTAGTGGTCAGAGAAGGATAGTGATACCAACTCCCATTACCCTGACTTCTCCCCCTAGTCGCATGGTAAGGTACTCCCAGTTCCAGGCCTTCTGTTCCTCCAGGCCATACCTTTACTCGGGAAGTAGAGAATTTGAAGAGCAGGTTTCATTTGCAGAGAACCACCTATGGAGCAGTGAGCTTATGGCCAGGGCTCATACCTTATGTTGTGCTTCCATTTCCCTGCCACTGTCTTGACTTCCTGCTCCCCAAGAAATGAGGCATATCTTAGCTTATTTCCTCTAAAAATCTAGTCAGAGTCAGAGGCCCGAGTCGTAATTGGCACAACCACTTAATTTTGCTTAGAGAGCTAGGAATTAAATATTTGGAGGTTAACTTTTTCCTGATTGAGCCTTGCTGAACAATTCCTTTGCTGTGATTATGGCACATTAAAACCCAACTATACTTGTCTGAACTTAAAGAAATAGGGTTTGGCTCTTCTTAAGTTAATCATAATACTCTTTAGCATATTTCACATACACACAGGCTGATAGTTGCTGACTTTTCCCCTTATTTCTGAAGGACATCATGTTTTGATTCTGTTCTCTCCTTTCCAGCCTAGCCTTAGTCAGGCCCTTGGTTATCTGTGATCTACAGGGGCCCTTTAAGGTACCTTCTTGTCCACACAGAAGATTCCCATCTATTCTTCACACAGCTATCACATTAATCCTCCCATAATAAGCTCTTTATCGGGGACACTCCCTGCTCATAAGACTTGAGTGGTTGCCCACTGTTTACAGAATAAAGTCCAGACTCTTTAGAAGCCTAGCTTTCTGTCATGACATCAGTGTACTTCCATGATGAAGCAGCATCTATTTCAGTAGCAGCTTCAGAGGCACTTGTTTTGTTGTGAAATACCAGAGTCACTCTTGCCAATGGCAGCAGTTCCATCTTTCACTTAAAAATATTTTCTCAGAGAAGTAGCAATAGTGACTCACTGAGAACACTTCTTTAATCCTCCGATTCCTCTTCATGGTTTTCTGCTGGTATGACTACAACTCTATCATGCTCTGACATTTTTATAATTTTTGTTACTACTAGCAGTTTGAAGTATTGATACATCTAACCTAGTGGCCATGTTAAGTTTCAAGCATCAGAAAGTGAATTGCTTGAGATACTTTGCTAAGCACACCAGTATTTTCCATCTGAATTGATATACTTGGTGCTTCAAGACAGATGGTGTGTTGCTTCTGTGCCTAAGAGCATTTGGCAGTGCTGAAATCGAGCCTTCTGTTCAGTCCAGAATAATTCAGTGATGAGTGGGCAACTTCGTATATATATATTTTTTGGCTGGATTTGAATATTTGGAAGTGTTTTAGCTTACATATTAACTATATGTGAGCGCCTTTATAAAATGACAGAACAGGCAAGTACATAATCAGTGGATAAGCACTGTTTTTCATTTTGGCATATGACACTATTTGTTTTTATTTTCATTATAGTGATATGTTTATAATAAGATTAACAAGTATTTGGGCATATTTAAACATGGGCACAAAACTTTTCAGGTTTAAAGTTACCTGTTAGCTAGACCAATGTGAGTTAAGATCAAAAAGGGGAGGTTTTTCAAATGTTTTTGAAGTGACTTTAAATGGGGCAGAGGCTTTTAAATCTCGTGTTGGTCATCACTTCTTGGTTTCATTTTATTCCCCTGGTTAACATCTCTTTTAAGGTACCTTGCTAAGACAGAATTTTCTTATTTAAGGCCAGACTGGAAGATTGCAACAAATAGCATCTCCAAAGCCCTATGTTTTGTTACTTAAATTTAGAAATTGTGTTTTGTATTCCTTTTGACTTAACAGCTCATTAGAGCCTTCTGAGTGATTAGCCAGAAATGTATTTTTTTCTCCTCATGTATTTTCAAAGTAGGATTTATGTAACTCTGTGGTTTTCATTTGGGGAACACTAGGTGTTAAGTATTATAGGATGCCAAGTCCCACAAGACAAAAACACTCCAGGGGGACCTCTGAAGAGGAACAGCAAAAACACCCGCGTTCTGTACTCGGTTGTGGATTATGTTGATGGAGGAGGATGATTGTTGATTTAAGAGAGGGTACTGTAATGTGGAGAAAATGCCTGGCCCATTTAAGCTTTGGGAAAAGGTTTACACATCTGAGCTTGGGTTAAAAATATTGTATTGCCTGTTCTCATAATGCTGGAAGTATAAAGAGATCAATAAAAAGTTTTCTCAGATTCTGTAAGTCAGACTTGTCTCTCTTTTCTCTACATATTTCCAAGGAAGCCGAGATGACAAAAGCTGGTGGATTCTGGTGGTGGGACTGTTAGTATTGATTCTATAATGTTACTGTAAATTTCTTTTCTGATATTAAATATATCGTGCAGAGGTGCGCTGACCACATCCCTAGATTCATATCATATAACATATCCAAGGACTGATCTCTTAACAGTCACCTCTTCAGCATCTACAACTTTTAGCATGTCTGGAAGACTCAGTTCTTGTCTACTACATAGTGGCATACCCTGGGAGAATGGCACCCGAAGAGTGATTTAGGAGGACACATACACACCTAAATGACTGAAGGCTTCTCTGGAAATCACTGGAGTCTGTTAAACACAGTAGGGATAGTAACCTTGGCTCCAAAGTTGGAATCCTGATCAGGAATCTTTAAAATCATATCTTAGAACATGATCAAATAAAATACATATTGCACACATATGAAAACTAGTTACCAAGGACCAAATGAATCCTGACATTTTGACACTTTCTCTTGAAGAAATGAATATGGAGGTCACAACATTTAGATTTTAGTTGTATTATCTATCACTTAGAGTAATTAGAGGTTATAGATTTATCACAATAGTTTCTTTGTGAGTAAAACACTTCAATAATAATTCAATTCTGACTTCTGGGTCTTCAGGATACTGAACTCTAGAGCCAACATAGTTTAATTAACCACCAGCCTGTAATAGAGTAAGCTTTCAAATTTCTCATTTATGGTCTTGTTTGTAAGTAGGAACATATATTTTTTATTTCTCTGGGCCTAATTTTCTCCATTATATAAGTGAACAAAAAACAAGAACACTGAAGAAATGTGACAGGAAACAAAATTATTTAGTGGTAAAACACTGGACAGTGGAAAGTGTCTGGAAAGACTTTTTAAAGCAGTAAAACACAATTGCAAATTGTCTGGATAATTACATGTTTGAGTTTAGCATGAAGCTTCACTATTTGAATATTGTTTTTGCTTGTGCTAATAGGTTGTGTCGCATCTTTTTTTGTTTTTCTGTTTGTTTTTGTCTCTGGGCTCTGAAGATTGAAGTTAATTAATTGCCAACAAGGACATAAGTGAGTATATATATTTTTTTAATTTAACATCACCAATAATGGATAGATACATAAGGATGTTTAAATTAATTAAGCAATATAGCTGCCATATATTCTTCCATGATTTTACACTCAAGAGCTGGCCTGTTCTAATCATTTCTAGCTGATTCTTCTGATTCCCAGACATAAATGAAAGAGTGAAGGAGTTAAAAGAATTTAGAAATATTCTGGGTGTGGTAGGAACAAACTCATGCACATTCTTTAAAAAAAAAAAATTACACATTTCCTAATCCTTGAGGTTTCTTTTTAGTTCCCTGTTTCCTCTAGACCTACAGTAAAAATGTTTTCACTTTCTTTATTTCTTTTTTTTTTCTTTTTTTTTTTCTTCCCAGAAAAGGTGTGTTGGAAGGGTCTGCCAGAACCAGAGACTAAGCAGAGCAGTATAAAAAAATTCTTTATTCCAGCTTCCAGAATTCCTCCTCTACAGCCTTGCATGTTCATTGGAATAACAAAGCCATTAAACGGTAGTGTACAAGAAGCCCCTTCCAGTGGTGGAATCTCGGTAGAAAACAAGGAAGTGGGGTGGTGGGGATCACGCAGTCCTTTCCATTTTTACTAAAGGGGAGGAGACAACATTTAAATTTAATTTGTACTGCAGCAGATATAATGTGATCGTGACAGTCTTCCAATGAATATTTGTTAATCCTAATTTGAACACAGGGGCGGGTGTCAGATGGACTACCTCCCAAGGCCACTTGACATTTATTTCTTGCAGCCTTAGGCAGAGATAGAGGAAACAGCTACAGTTTACATTTGTGAAAGCTCAGAGTAATAGAAACATTTCATTTTATATTTTTATTCCAAAGCAAATGTATTAAATGAGCAATTAGATAAATGCTTAGTGAAATGCCAAAAAGCTTACACATACATTTGCTTAAACGAAGTTTCCCTGTGGATTTAATAAAATTCTAACCACAAAGAGGTAAATTAATTCAAGAGATATAAAGTGAGAAAACTCACTTTCCCCACATTTTCCTTCTCTTATTTCTCCTTCCTTCTCAAGCTTTCTCCCACCCTTGCTATCATTCACTGTAGAAAGAAGAGTAGGAGAGCACATAGTTACATTCTTGCTCCTTTAAATGCTGAATCAGGGAGGTTATTGTGAGATATTTCACAGCTACAACACTAAATAGCTGTTTGCCAACCCTACCTGCATCATCTCATAACTTTGGATTAAATGTTGAAAATTGGTCATTGTTTATAATTGAACAAGCAAAAACTTAAATATACAGTAAGTGTGCCTTGCTTTTTAAATTTGTTTGTATTTTTTTCTTGATGCTTTGCATAAAGACCGTGAAGTGCTTTTGTTTCCCTGTGCCCCACCAGAAACGTGGAGTTTATTTGGGGTGTATGGTATCCCGTAGAGCACCATAAATGTCCACTAGATGTCAGTGTGTCACTAAGTGAAGCCGGTTAAGCATGCTCCCCACACCCATGCTTGAAACATTGGAGAGGTGAACTCTCATGATTTTTAACCAGAGTGATAGAGAAGTTTTAGTATACAAGTTAGTAATATTTGTCATAATGAATATTAATAAAAGCGAAATCTTTTATTTAAAAAATCCAGTACTATTCATTTAAGGATTTCAAAATGCTCTACTTGTGTTCTGTTTTTTTTTTTGCTATGATATCCCCAAAGAGAGAGAATGCAAATATTCATTTTACATGTTACAGCAGAGTAACCTGAAGTGCAAGGGGACAAATGGCCCAAGATCGCCAGTCAACATCTGATGGACCCAGGCTGGCGTTTCTGCAGCCTACTCTACGTAAACACTCCTGCTTCTCCTTTGGTGTATTTAAATGCAGATTTCTTTCATCTGCCATTTGTATCAACTACCATATGTATAAAAGAAGCTCAAGAAGAGTGGAATGATTAAGCATGATTGAGATTATCAATTTAGTATGGTAATGTTTAAGATGGAATTTTAAGATTTTATAAAGATTATACAAAGAGTCTGCTAAACAACCAAGATGATAAATTTATATTTACGTATACTATATTAAAGATGGTGAATTCAGACTAATGTGAACCTCACCTTAGTTCATGTACTCAAGTATAGAAGGAAAGAAAGCCAGTTGTAATTTGGTTTGGAAGGTTGAAGCTACTGTATTTTGGGGATTTATGGAGCATATTGTATATTATAGGTTTTACACTGTATAATTTCCTTAAAGAGGAGACTACGTATAATCCTGAATATAAGGATTTAAATAGTGATTTTTCCAAATTTGTGTAAATACACAGGTTACAACTATGTAAAAATTATGTTTGTGTATATAAATGTAAAGAATACACAGAAAAGATTTTAGGTGGCGGGATTATGGTAAATTTAAATTTCCCCATTATGTGGTAGTATTGTTTTTATAATAAATAAAAAGAAAAAATGGTTTCTCCTTTATGGTTCATGTTGTAAAAAATTTGCCACAATCCAACTTTAGAAAGGCTTGTTTTTTGTATCAATAAAGTACATTAACTATCGAAATTTGAGAAGATTCGGTTTGGTTTGTTTACTTCAAATGTTTCAGTTAAATCATAGAAATCAAGGTTAAAGTGGCAGAAGTACAGGGTCATACTTTCAAACATTACTGTGAATTTTAAATGAAAATAAATGATCGCCCAAATCCCAGTAGACTGTTTGCTGTAGTATTTAGTGCATTGTCAATATTAAGTAAATATCAATGAAGTGTTTAGTAAATGTAGCTTTCTTCAATTTGTATTTTCTTTTAAATGGTGCAAGATTAAAAGAATTACCAGTAAAGTTAAAGAGATTTTTTAAATTTAAAATTATAATAGCTATTGACTTTGCATGCTCGGACCTATATTTCAACTCAAAACATATATTAAAACATGCATGAATCAAATTGAGGTGTAAAATAACATTTCACATATGTGAAAGAAAACCTGTACTTTTATGGTATGTCTCATTTCAAGAAAAAGTGATGTAGCTACCATTGAATTATATATTAAAAAATTCATGGACAATAATCTACAGAACTGATCGGGGATTAACGGCTGGAAAAGTTGGGCATGTGTGTCAAAATTAACTATAAAACTTTTTATGAACCATGTTTTCTTTGTACTATCTCCATCCTATAATCATGATTTGGAAACTTGGATTTTTAGATTTGTCAGAGTGGGTGGATAGAGGCAAGAATGTGCAACTTCAGGACTTTTAAGGGTGCTGCAAAGTCCTGGTGCATATTAGACCTTCAAAATCACCGCCACCCACAGGTGTATACTCAGTTTAATTCTTAGACTCCTGGAGCCACTAAAATGTTACTAGCCTTAAACATTTTGAATACTGGACTCACGGTGATCTGGAGTTAGAGTTGAAACAAATTAGGTGATAAGTTAGTTGAGGTGTGATCAGACTCCCATTTGGAGGTGAACTCTGTTCAATCAATTGTTGAATGTAAAGGAAAAGAGCACAGGTGGAAGACCAAGACCAGCTCAGCTTACCTCATGTCTGATTCATAGCATATCAAAAACTACAGCTCCCATAAAACCTTTATGATAGTTGTTTGCTGTATCTAGAATCCCACCATTAGAGATTCATTCTCTGGCTTAAAGGCATCTCCAGACATCTTTTCTTTTTAATACTGATATTACAGATATCAGTAACACTTGAGTTTATTCAGTGACTATACACTAAAGCTCATTAACTCAGAAAAATCACTTCCAAGCCCAGCTGACTGAAGCAAGTGGTTGGGGAGAGACTGATAAGAGAGTGAAAAAAAAAACACAAAAAACCAGAACATTCTAGGGGACAGGCAGGAGGGGCAGACGCTGTTTGTTTAAGGGAGTTCCTCCTGGAAACAGGAGATCCATTTTTAACTAAAATGCAGGCCGTGATTCTGTAGGGCTGGGGGAGGAGATTCTGCATTTCTAAGAAGCTCCAGGTGATCTCCATGCTGCTGGTATAGAGGAACTTAATCTCCTTCACCTGTATGTCTATAGCAAGACCTACAACCCAGCACACAGGATTCATGAGACCAGAAGCTGGTGCCCTTGAGTCAGACTAAGAATCACCTGGAAGGCATGTTTAAACATTTATTGGTTCTATCTCAGAGATTCCGATTCAGTAGGTGAGGGCCACAGGTTTGCCTTTCTAACGACTGATGCCGGGGACAGACTTTGAGTAGCAATGCTGTAGACAACATATCTCCAACTCACATCTGCGGCCCTGAAGCCGGTATCCCAGCATATCCCAAAGATCCAAGTTGTGGGCGCTTCCTGACGTGCTAACAAAGGTGAGCCCTGCATCTTCATTTTCTGCCAAAAAAAAAA